GCGGGTGGGTGGGTGGAATAATTGCGCGAGCATTGGAGTTGACGACCGCTGGCGATCAATGGTTAATTCTTTCAACTATAAAGAAATTGATTCGACTCTCCCTCTTCCGGGGATTATCGCGCGTCCCGCGGGGATGTGCAATTTGCATGTGAGCCTGCTCCATCCTTCGTTTTCCATGCCACCCCCAGCCAGGCTGGGTGCGACCCCGCCCATCATTCCCGGGCAATGCTGCTATGCGCTATGCACGCGCGTTCGTTTATCACGCAGCATCCACATTCGAAAACCTCTTGCAACAAATGTGACAAAGACCACGCGAGCGCGGCGACGCGCGCACATGCTGTATTTCTTCAACTGTACAACGACTATTGGTTTGGCATGGATTCCAATGCCGAGGTTTCCAACAACACATATGGGCATCTCTGGTTTTGCGGCATAGCTTCTCGCGCAAAGATGTGCCCGCGCACTCTTGCGAATCATTGCGAGAACCATGAGTTATCCAACATGTTTATCGAATTGGATCAAGCGGGCCTCTGGCTTGCGCGCGTGAAAATCCATCGGGCGCCCTTGCGCGCTTGCTGGGGGCGGGGGGTGGGGGGGCGATTCCTCTCGAAGACTCGCAGCGCCACTTGCGCCCGTCGACCGCGGGAGCATGTCGAAATCCTGCTAGCGCCTTCGTCGCCGACGCGTGGGCGCCAACGTGCCCGCCGGCGTGGTCAATGTCGGCGCCGTCGTTGGCCTTGCCGTCGTCGTCGTCACCGTCGCAAGCATCGCTGCTATCATCGTCGTGTCTGCCGTTGTCGACGCTCCCATGATGCCGCGCTCGCCCGCGTCGCCGACTCGCACTGAAGTGCCCGCGCGTCGGCGCGGCCTGCGAAGCGCGCCGGGAAGTCCCCGGCGGCCTGCGCCACCGCGGCCGCGTCGGTCGCGTCAGACTAGCCGGCCGCTCTGCGCGCGAGCCGACGTGCCCAAGCGCGGCCGCAGCGATGCGCCAGCTAGCGCCGAGCAGTCATGGCTATCGCCGCCGCAGTGGTTTCGCAGGTCAGGTTGCGGGTGGGCGGGTTGAATGACTGCGCGAGCAGTGGAGCTGACAATCACTAGCGATCAATCGTTAAAATAGGAAGACATTGGATTCTACCACCCCCCAGCCAGGGAATTCCCCGCATTGCTGGGGATATGCAATTTACGTGTGATCCTGTTCCATCCCTTATTTCCCATGTGAAGTCATGCCGCCCGGGCCAGGCTGGGTCCGGCTCCCCCCCCTTCATTCCTGGCAAATAATGCCATGCGCGCGCGCTCGTTCACCGCGAAACATCCACGGCCGAAAACCCCTCGCAACAAATATCACAAAATCCACGTGCGCGCAGCGTCGCGAGCGCATGTCGGAAATCTTCAAAACCATTGGTTTGGATTGGTGCGGATTTCGAAATCGAGGTTCCCGAAAACACATGAACATGTGTGGCTTTGCAGTGTGATCTCTCGCGCAAGTGCTTGCGCGCGCGCTCTCGAAACTTCGTCCGACAGCCCTGCGATGTCCAACCTTGGTCATCATATTCGACCATGCGGGCCACTCGCGCGCGCGCGCGTCAAAATCACTTGGGCGCCCCTGCGCTCTCGCTGGGGTGGGGGGGGGGGGGGCGATTCCTCTCGCGTGAAAACGTTCGGGCCGCTCGCGCCCGTCGACCGCGCGAGCATGTCGAAATCCTCCCCAGACCGTCATCACCGACGCGTGGACACTATCATCTCCGTCGGCGTGATCAGCATCGGCGCCGCCCATGGCCTCGCCGTTGTCATCGCCGGCCCCGGCGCCAGCATGGCTACTGTCATCGTCGCGGCTGCCGTCGTCGACGTCGCCATGGCGCCGCGCCCGCTGGAGTCGCGAACTCGCACTGACATGCCCGCGCGTCGGCGCGGCCCGCAAGACGCGCTGGGAAGTCCCCGGCGGTCAGCGCCTTCGCGGCCGCGTCGGTCGCGCCAGCTAGGCTGGCCAGTTTGCGCGCGAGTCTGCGCGCGCCAGCGCGGCCGCGGCGATGGGCCGGCCAGCGCCGAGCAGTCATCGCAATCGCTGCCTCGGGTGTTCTGCAAGCGAAGTTGTGGGAGGGTTGGTGGGATGTTTGCGCGAGCGCGGGGGGTGGTCGCGCGCGGGGCAGTCGAACTCCATTGCGCCAGATCTATTGCTCCACGCAAATTTTTCTTTCCAGAGAACATCGCGTATTCTACCCCCCTAGAATGAACGCCCGTCCCCCCTTTTCGTGTTGCAATTTACATGCGATTCTGCCCCATCGTTCATCCCGAGTAAATTCGCGCCATCCAATCCAGGCCAGTATCGGCGCCCCCCGCCGCCCCCTACAACAAATGCGATGCGCGCGCTCTCGTCTATCAACAAACAACAATTTTCAAACGTCCAATGCAACCAGATAGGACGCAGCGTATGCGCGCGCGCCGTCGCGCGCGCGGAACTCTTTGAACAGCCATCGGTTTCGTAGCGACAGAATGAAGTGTCACGAATACACATACATATATACATATATACACATGCATACATATATAACACATGGGTTTGCAAGAGGAGTTTTCATAGAGAAAGTTTGCGCCCGAGCTCTTGCGAATCGTCGAGAAAACAATGCGCGCGCGTCGAAATCGTTCGCGCGCCCTTGCGCGCGTGCTGTCACAATAATCTCTTGTAACATATGGGGCGACATGCACGCGCGCGCGTCGTTGCGCGCGCATGCCGGAATCCTTGAAACAAGCAATCGGTTTCGCGTGGGGTTCAAAATCGGGTGCCCCGAAAACATATAAAACGCACGGATTCGCAACGTTGGTTTTCATAGAAAAACCTGCGCTCGCACTCGTGTGGGCTGTGAAGAAATCCGACGGGCTTCCAGCGTGTTCATCAACTTCTGCCACGCGGGCCTCTCGCGCCGCATGTCGACCACACTCGAAAATCCTTGCGCGCGTGCTGGGGGGGGAGGGGGGCATCATCCGTGTCGGATGATACCGCGCGGGCCAGTCGCGCGCGTCGGCCGCGCGCGCGTGTCGAACTCCTTCAAAAACCTTCGTCATCGTGATCGACGGGCGTGGTCAACATCGACGCCATTGTTGGCATTGCCGTCGTCATCGCCGCCTTCGTCACCATCGCTACTCTCATAATCCTGTATACCGTTGTCGGCGTCGCCATGATACCGCGCCCGCCGCACTGAAGTGCCCGCTGGGAAGTGCCCAACGGTCAGCGCCACCGCGGCCGCGTCGGTCGCGCCAGCGAGGCTGGCCGCTGTGCGAGCGAGCGTGCGCGGGCCAGCGCTGCCGCAGAGGTGCACCAGCCAACGCCAAGCTCTCATCGTCATCGCCGCCGCATGGGTTTTGCACGCCAGGTTGCGGGTGGGCGGGTGGGATGCTAGCAATAGCGTTGGATGTGTCAACTCGTCTGCAAAAATCAATTGCACCACGTAACTTGTCCCACATAGGTTGTGCAACAGAGATTGCTAGAAATACACTGTTTGGCGTCCGCGCGGGCGAATATAGATCGAACACATTGCCATTCTTTACATGAATACCCGTGATGGTAACAGAGCTGAAACGTGCGCCCAACCCGGACTTACAGGACGGGTTGCGTTGATTAATGCTCCAGCGGTAGCTCGCTCCGTCGGGCGTGACTTCCGGACGTGAGGGCGGCTTCTCGGCCCCCCCCCCCGCGTGCGACCGAAAGGGTGTGCGAGTGTGCGTGTGCGTGTGTGTGTGTGTGTGTTTGATGTTGCAGGTCGGGGAAGTGGACCTGCTACTGCCTTTGGGGGGGTGTCTGCGCGACGACGGAGGAGGAAGCCAACGAGGCAGTTCGCCCCAGAGCCCTGACCGGGCACCCGGACGCGGAGAGGCTCCGAGAACAGTCCCGTGAGCCAGAATGGCCACCGTCCCCTCCCCACAATTGCACAATATGAAAACTAATACGCATTATGAATACTACTCTCCTCTCTCCCCTGATGACGTCCGGAAGATATTCAGCCCCCTCCGCATCTTTTTTTCCTCACAAAGGATTCCTGGGAACTGGGTTATCGTTTTTTTTTTTGGGGGGGGGTCAACATGTTGTTCCCGCTGAAACACTGGCCTCATTTTCGGTCTTCCGCTCGTTCCGAATCGTGCTCCGGCTGCAGCGCTGGCCTCATTTTCGCGCTTCCGCTCGCTCCGAATCGTGCTCTCGCTGCAGCGCTGCCCTCATTTCCTGGTTTTTATACATGTTTTTGGCAATCAGATTCTTTTCGGTCCTTCAAAGTGTTACTCCCACTGCAGCGCTGGCCCCATTTCTGCGCCACTGGTTGTTCCAAAACGTGCTCCCGCTGCAGCGCGGGCGTATTCGGTCTTTCCAAACAAACAGGCCCCGAAGCTAGAAAATTACCCCAGACAAAAAAAAACATCGCAAGTGATTACACATCCGGTGCCGATTCGTTGAGTTTTTGGGCTGCAGAAGGCCCCCCCACTTCGTGGCGGCGGCTTTTGGAGGAAGTATCAAGCGGGACGTCCTCGTCCTCCTCCTCCTCCTCCTCCTCCTGCTCCTCCTCCTCCTCCTCCTCCTGCTCCTCCTGCTCCTCCTCCTCCGCCTCCTCCTCCTCCTCCTCCTCCTCCTCCTCCTCCTCCTCCTCCTCCTCCTCCTCCTCCTCCTCCTCCTCCCCCCGCTCCCCCTCCCATGTGCGAGAGAGGCCACGGCCTCCCCGTCGTGCCTTGCTGGGCACGGGGCGCGCCCCTCGACTCTGGCGCTCGCCCCGCTCCGCTGCGCCTCCCCGCCCCGCCCTCGGCCCGCCTGGGGCCTCTTGAAGGGACCCTGGGACACACAAATAAATACACACAAACAAAAGGATTCCCCATATCTTCCCATATTTTCTGGGTTCTTGTCTTCCCCCCCCCCCCAGTTCCCATATTTTCCCATATTTTCTGGGGGATCGATGATGAATTGTGTCTGTGTTTTTTCCCCTCCTGACCCTCCCCGCCCCGCCCTCGGCCCGCCCGGGGGCCTCTCCGCTGATGCAGCTGCCGCCGGTGATGCCCCGCACGGCCGAGACCACGGCCTCGCACAGCGCGCCCTGGTCTGGCGAGGCGCCCGCGCCTGGGCTCTCGGCCGCCAGGAGGGGGGAGGTCGGGCGTGCGGCGGGGGCGCACCTCTCGCCCTTCCTCCTGCCCCGCGCCGCGCGGGCCGCTGGGGGCGCTCCTCCGGCCAGGAGCGGCAGACAGCCTCCCCGGACAGGCTCGCGTCGTGGAGCATCGGGGCGGGGGGCCTTTGCCAGTCCTGGGCCTCTGGGGGCCCCGGGAGCGTCGCGAAACGGCTCGGGACGACGAGCGCGTCCCCGGTGATGGGTCCAGACCTCTGGGGGTCCACACGACGAAAGAATCGTGACGTCGGGGGTCTGGGCACGCAGGCAGGGGGCGAGGCGCAGGGTCGAGGAGCTCCGGCCGCGAGGCGTGCACGGGCGCATGGGCGGGGCCTCACGGCCGGCGTCGTCGTTGCTGTGGCTCGACGCTGCCGCTGCGCCCGCGCGGGACAGATCCATGCCGGCTGCCCAGGCCCGCAGGCATCGTCTCTCGAAAGAGGGGCCCCAGAGGCAAACGATGGGGCACCCGTTTTCTCGCCATCGCTCGGACGCCCCTGCCCCCTCCATCTCTCGGCTTCGTGCGCGTCTTTTCTCGCAGGATGGCCCAAGAGGCTCCTCGACGGTCCTCGCCGAGAAGAGTGCACAAGTCCGAGCGATGCCAGGCTCTTGTGCAGAGCTTCGAGGGCGGGCGGGCCCGGGTCAGCGCCAACCCAGGTCAACCAGGGCGGTGTCGCAAACCTGGGCGGGCCATGAAATAACTCCCCAACCTGGCTCAGCGGAGGGAGGAAAAGGAGGGATCGACGCCTCATGGTTCTCAAACCCGTGTCAGCGATAAGAGACCATAACAGATTTGCTGACCCCCGTTAGGGCTAAGCCCAAGTATCTGAGCCCCGTTAGTCTCCCGGGCCCCGTGTAGAAGCTTGGTGAACAATGGGCCGCATCTGAACAAGAAACCTGCCCTATCCAGTGTCTCGGCTAGGGAGGATGGGAGGCATGACGAGGAACATGGAAGCGAGGAGGACGAGGAGGAACAGGATGACGAGGAACCAAATACATGATGAGGATCAGAGAAGAGTCTGGAGGATGAGGGCGAGGAACGAAAGGAGTGGGATAAGATCAGGAAGGACGAGGATAACGGGCTGGAGGGTGGGCCTAAGCCTGGCAAGGATATGCAATAGGGGAACAACAAGTCACATAAACATAACAACTTGGAGGTCCGCGCGGACTTCTCGGATCGGTAAGGCGGACGCCGGGGAGGACCTGGCGAACTGGGCGGGCGGGGGCGCGTGCGCCTTGCAGCCAAGTAGTTTTAAGTCGGGCACGTCCCCCTACAGGGGGATTTTGGGTGACAAAAAATAAGATACCCACAAAAATACACGCAACATGTTCAAACATAGTGAGGCATAGTTTTTTGTGTTATATATAAACATACTATTATTGGATTCTCCCCCTGTAGAGGGACAGGCCCGACGTAAAAGTAGTTCCTGCGACCTTTCCACGTCTATGCTCCTAGCTTCCTTCGGATCACGAGATCAGCGCAGCGTCTGATTGAGGTCCCTCTGCGCCCTTTCGCTTGGAACCCTCCCCATGTCCGCCCCCGCACTTCCGGCGTGGGGCAGCAGGAATGGGGAGAGGAAGTGAGGGAGGACGAGGGTACTGGTGGCAATTCTGAGGATGAGATGGCGAGGAACACTAGGATGATCACAAGCAACATGACGGTGATTTGGCATGGGCGTTCGGCTGTTACTCTTCACGTGCATGAAGCCACCAGGAATGCAAATCCCGTGAACGTGCAAAGGTCACCAAAAATGCAAAGGCACGGTTTCCCGAACCCACTGAACACGTACATGCCGTTTCCGGTGCGTGGCCGGCGGGGGTGCTGGCGTTGGTCTTCGAGGGGTCACAGAACCTACTCAAACCGCGCCCCGAAGAAGTGGATCGATTAGTGTTGCCGGCGAGCAAGGGGGGGCTGGCCATCGCTAGGACGTCCATTCCCTGTGTTTTTTTCGGTTTCGTGCGTGGTTTTTTCGCCAAATCATCAAGGATGCTCCTCGATGGTCCTCGCCGAGAAAAAAATGCACACGTCCGAGCGATGCCAGGGGGGAGGTGAGAAGGGGGCAGGCCTGCTCAGCAGGCGGCGGCGCTTCTCCGAAGCCCTCGCGCCCTCTGGGAGAAGTCATTCGGTATCTTCGGGGAACGCTTAGAACACTTTTTTGTTTTATATACAAAAAACGCTTAGAACACTTCTCGGGAGGCCCGAAGCCTGCCGAGCCTTCCAGGCCTTCCGAGAAACCCCGCCCCCTCTCACTTCCCACCCTGGGCTCGCCGCCGGAAAACGGGGGATTGTCAAGTGGCGGTCTGAGAGCCCTATTTTTTCAAGAAATCGCACTCTCGCCCCGGCGCCGTGCACACTTTTTCAAAATCGGCATTCTCTCCTCGACGCCGCGAGCACTTTTGCATTTGTGCTTCGCGTGTGTGGCGGTGGCGGCTGTTGATTGGTGGGCGGGGTGCGTGGGTGCAAAGTGGGAGGGTTGGGGGGTGGTGTGGGTGTGGTGTGGTGTGTCTGTGTGTGTGGGGGCCAACAAAACAACATCATGTTCGAATGTGTGTCATGTTTTTTTGTTTGTTGCCCCCCCCCCCCCCTTCCCCCACCAACTCGTCTATTCCACCCTGCCTCGGAGGCGGCCTTGCGCGTGTGGCGGTGGCGGCGGTTGATGGGTAGGCGGGGTACGTGGGTGGGTGGGGGGGAGGCAAAACAAAACAACATCATGTTGGAATGTTTAACACTTTTTTGTTTAACCCCCTTCCACGCGCACACGCGCCCGCGCGCTCGCCTATCCCACCCTGCCTCGGAGGTGTGCTTTTTACCGATGGTGGATGTGCCTGCGATGGTCCACCAACACCGTCCACGCAATCGATTGGGCCTGTGATGTGATGCATTGCGCGACGCAGGTCCGGTGGGAATGCGCACGGAGAAAAATACGAACTGGTCCCAACCATTTCGGGTGCAACCGTGTGTGGCTAATCCCCAAGCGCTTTCGCGCAAGCATAGTGCCCACGCCGCCTGTACTCCATGGCCCGCACGGCCGCTGCGTCGGGCAAGTAGTCGGCGTTGCCCTGCGCATGGTGGTGGTTGTGCTTTCTCACGAAGTACAGCACCAGGAAGCGGTGGCGGATCGGGGAGAGTTCATTGAACGCGCGAGCGTACCCTCTGAAACCAGGAGTACACCTGCTCGCAGGCAGGCGCGCTCACGTCCTTGACCCTCCTGCCGAGGCGCCGCGCCAGGTGCGGATTGCAAAGGCGCTCGTCGACGCGGCTGTGGGCGTGCGATTTCTCGACGGCGTAGTACTTCAGCTGGGCGAGCTCTGGCATGGACTTCGCGGGCGGCATGAAGGAGCAGGCCCTGTCGTACACGCGGCAGTCCGCGGCGGGGTAGAGGCCGAGCACCTTCATGAGGTTCTCCCGCGCCACGGCGTTGTCCTCGTGATCCCGCTGCTCCACCACGCTCACCGCGCGCCCAGATGGAGTGCGTACCATCAACCAGACATTGCCCATTGCCATGGTGAGCGCAGCGGGGGGCCTCCAGTTTGCCTCCTTTGGTGGCGCGGTCACTCGCAGCGGGGCGCTTCTTCCCCATCTGGCCCTTCACGTGGCTCTTTCGAGTCTTTGCGGCTGGCTTCCGAGATGCTGCAGTCTGCCCTCGTGGTTAGGGCACAGCACCCGCGGGGCGCCGCTTCGCAACGCTACCCGCTGCTGGCTGGCGAGATGGCGCGTGCTGGCTCCCCGCTGGTTTCTTGCTAACTGCCTGTCCGCCGCAGCGCGCGGCGACCTTCTCGTGGCCGTCGCCGAGTGGCGTCTTGATGGAAGCAGCGCCTATGGGCTTGAACATGTCGCCATGGAGGTGGGCGTCGTAGACCGCAAGGTTGGCCCGCGGCATCTCGTCGCCGGCAATGACGTCGAGGTGTTTGCCAACGGCTGCAAGTTCCTGCACGGCGAGCGCTTGCATGATCGCGTCGGAGTGCAATTTCCGCAGGTCGACAGGGACTCGTGCTGCTAAGGCTGCGGCCTTGACCGCGTCTGCTTCCGCCCCCTGCGTCTCTGGTGACGCCGCGTGCGGCCAGGGCGGCGGAGGCGGGCTGGGTCGCGAAGGTCGTCGCCCTGGCGTTGCTGCCTGCGGTGGCCATCCTTCCCCCTCCTCTGCCTTCGCTCGATCGTGTGACTCTCCGGTAAGGGCTCTCAGACCCGATGGGGGCGGCGCCGTTTTCCCCTGGCGTGCGGCGCCAACTCAGCCTCTCCCCGAGCAGCGGGCCAGAGCGCCGCGTTCGTCCTCGGGTCAGCTTCGAACCGATAGTTGCTGTAGAGGATGATTCCTCAAAGGACAGAGACTTCGCGATCAAAGATCTTGAGATCCCAGGCCGTGAAGGCCCCGCGTTTCGCCCTGATAAGCGTAGAAGGGTTGGCAGCCACCGAAGGGACATACCTACTTTGGCTGCCGCCGTAGTGCCTGACCGTGCCATGCCTGAAGCGGGCCCCGTTCCTGCGTCCGCGGCCAGGGGGCATCGTCTTTGGGTTTATTCGGGGCACGTGTGCCTCTGCGTTTCCTCTGGATCTTTTTACCACTGGCCCGGCAGAGCATTTGTTGGTAGGATGCCCGTCTACTGACCCTACACATAGACTCTCGGAACGCGCCCTTCCGAACCGAAAGCAGTTCCTTGCGGGGTTTCACCCTGCGGACGAGGGCAGACAGGATTCTCGTGGAATCCCTGCTCCTCGTCCACTCCATGTTGCCGACCCAGAAACGTTTTGGGTCAGGCTCCTAGCGAGCCGATCTTCTCAATATCGACTCGAGGACAGGGGTTAGGTTCGCGAGGGTGGAGCACCATTGCTGGCGTGCTCCCCGTGGACCTTCACTCTCCTGTCGTCTCTTTTTGGTGCCTGCGGGACTCCGAGATCCTGACTCTCGGGTGGGGGCGGCCGTCTTTCCCGGCGCCTCGGGCGGCTGCTCGGGCTGCCCCTTCGCCCGTGCACGCCTGGCGCCCGTGGCTTGACCTCGGAGCGCGGCGTCCGCCAACCAGCGTCGTATCCTCCTCCTCCTCCTCCTCCTCCTCCTCCTCCTCCTCCTCCTCCTCCTAAAAGGAGGGCGGCGGCGAACCGCGCGGCTAGTGGATGGGGATCGCTCCGCCTGCCTCTGCCCGGTGAATTCTAGCGCCGCAATTCATCTGCGCGCGTCCACGACATGCCGACCATGGCGTGCGAGCTGGGGCGCGGATCTACCTCGGCCACGATGGATGTCGAGTGCCGGCCGCTCTGATTATAGATCTGCCGCGCTGCCTGGGCGAAGTCGCGCGACCGGCGAGCGCGGGCGCGCAGTTCTATGATGATATCAGGATGCATGATGGGCATCTCCTAGGCTCCGCGCGAAGGTGTTTGCGATCGCGAGCAGCGGCCCTAGCATGGCCGCCCCCCCGTTCCCGCCCGACATCGTCGAGCTGCGCCCAGCCGCGGCAACGGGGGCCCTCAACCCCGCGCGCCGCGAACGCGGACGCCAGCGCGCGCCGCCGTAATTGCCCATGCTGTCGCACAAGCCTCCAGGCCGCGTTGCCTTATGCGGCGCGCGGTGCCTCGGCCCTTCGGTCAGCAGCTGCTGGGGGTCCGCGTCGATCCCATACTTCATGCCCGGCGACTTGGCGACGCAGTAGCTCCATGAGTACAATATACAATATGGGAGCTCGCCGTGGTTCACAATCTCCGCGCTCTGCATCAAGGCTGGCTCGCGCCCCGCATGGGGCGCCGCGGAATCAGCAGCAGCGGCAGCTTCGTGAACGCTCGCCGCGAGGATAGGAGCGGCAGCGGGATCATTGTGATCGACAGCATTAGGCGCCGCGCCAGCCGCATGTGCGCTTCCCGAAACGATGGTGGGAGCAGGAGCGGGTGCATCTTCGTCGACAGCATGCGGCGCCGCGCCAGCGGCTTCAGCGCCTCCCGCGGCGAGGATATGAGCAGGAGCGGGGGCAGCTTCAGAAGCAGCATCGCCGACGGCGCTGCGAATCTCCTGCGCGACGTCGGGAGCCAACTGTGCCATCCATGTTTCTCTCTCGTCCACCGTCCGCCTGCGAAGAAATCGGAGGAGAGCCCCGCGCTGTCCGCGAGATCGCTGCCCCGCCGCGTCATCGGCTGGTTGGCACAACAAGCGCCGCGTGGCACCAGTCTTCACCAAGGCGGCCAGCCCTGGAAATCCCCAACGGCACAGTGGATTCGCGCACACCTTCACCATCTCTGCTTTACGTCGATGGTGGTGGGCGCCAACAAAAACGGATCCAAAAAACGCCACGGAAAGCAGTGATTACGTCTCCGTCGTGGCTCCGTTGTGATTCTCTTTGGATATCAGCTTGCTCCCCGAACTCTCTGGATCTCTGCTTGCTCCAACATGCTGGTTGTTCAGGAACCTCCCTGGACATTTGCTTGCTCCAAGACCTGTTTGGTCGCGCCAGAAAAAATCGGTGTGAACCTCTGGATGCGCTCAAACCTCTGGTTGCTCCTGGATCTGTGTCAACCGCTGGATGCTTCTAGACCTCTGGCTGCTCCTAAGTAAACCTCTGTGGGCCTCTGGGTCGCCGAGCCCCTTCTCCTCCTCCTGGTCATCCTGTCCTCCTCGTCTTGGTCGTCGTCGTCGTCCTCCCCCTCCTCCTACTTCTCCTCCTCCTCCTCCTCCGCCCCCTCCTCCTCCTCCTCCTCCTCCACCTCCTCTTCCTCCTCCTCCTCCTCCTCCTCCCCCTCCTCCTCCTCTTCCTCCTCCTCCTCCTCTTCTTCCTCCTCCTCCTCCTGCTGGGTACTTCAATACCCTGTGCTCCCCATGTGGGACAGTGGAGGATTCTCAAGTGTGGTGGCGCAAAAATGTGCGCGGCGTCGAAGCAGAACGTCGTTTTCGAAAACATGTGCGTGGCTCCCAGGCGTGAGTGCGATTTTTTGAAAAATATAGCACATGAAACCGCCACTTGACAATCCCCCGCTCTCCGCCGCCGATGGTGAGACGCATGCCCGTCCCGCATGGTGGCTGACACGATGCCCGCTGCTCCCCCCCTTTGCGCCGCCGCCCGCGCCTTGCCCGAGGCAGCCGGCCTGCAACACAACGCAGGCGTTCACCACCAGCAGGTCCTCCAGCTCGGACTTCCGCGCCAAGTCGACCTCCACGTCCTCGCCCCGTGGCACGCGGCAGTGCCCCCCTGGGGCTCGTGGCTCCTCCCGACGACGGTGACGGCACGGACGGGGGCGGTCACGACAACCCCGCGATCCCGCCCTCGCGCTGCTGCTTCTCCTCCTGTTCTTTCTCTGGCGCTGGCCAGATTCACACCCACGAGGGCGGAGAGTCCTCCTTTTCTCTTCCTCCTCATCCCCTCTCTCCCTCGCCGCTGCGACTGTGAAGCTCTTGTGGCCGCTGAGTGGAGGGCTGGGTTTGTGGACATGCCCAGGTGCTCGTGCGCCCGACTGCAGCACCAGGCACGAGTCTCCGCCAGCGAGCGGAGCGCTGCTGCCCAAAGACAGACTCAGATATCCGATGTCGTGATTTTTTTCAATACGGGGTCCCCGGAAGTCTCGACCCAGGGACCGGTTTTTCATCCCGAGTCGTTCTTTGACGGTCCCGAGGCCCGGCGAGGGCCCCTGGGGGCCGAAATTTGAAAAAAACCTTCGTCTCGATTTTTTCAATACGTTGGATCTCTGGGGACCTGCAGTCCCCTTCGAGACGACGTGCTCTCGCCCCCGGGCCAGCCCAACCCTCGCCGGCCGAGCGTCGTGCCGGGCGGGGGGCCCTCCCTGCACGCCCAGCCCGCAGCCGGGTGCCTGCCTCCGTCCAGCTGGGCTGCGCCTCGGAATCCGTATGCAGTGGAGGCCAGTCCACAAGAAGCCTTCCACAAGAAACCCAACCCTGAGACCCCAGGACGTCCATCGATTCTTGGTGTGGGAACGTCACGCTGCCCATCGCAGAACCATCGAAATCCAAGAAACCCAGGACACCCTGGAGGCAAGCAGGGTGTTTCTTGGCATGGGTCTGCACTGCAGAGAGGGGGGGGGGGGGGGCGTTGGATGGCCTCGGCCCGCTTGAAGGCTTGCCGAGTCGGTGGTGGGTGGACCGATCCCTGAAGCGCCCGAGGCGGCCGAGCGGAGATGGGGAGGCACATACCTTTGCAGACACGCATGCCAAACCGCCCTCTGAGTACCCATGTTGATTGATGTCGCTCTGCGCACCCACCAAGCCGCACTCAACGCCCCACCAAGCACAACACCTCTCTCTCTCTCACACACACACACTTCGTAGTACATACGTACATCGATCTGTATATCTGATACACGCCTTGGGGACCTAACTCTCCTGACTTGCTTTCTCGCTCCCTCACATTCTCTTTCTCTGTTCCTTCCAAATCGCTGCAACTCCATTCTGCCTCTCCGTTCTCTCCCGCTCTTCCGATGCATGTGTAGACGTAAACGCACAGAGGAGGATGAGGAGGAGGAGGACGAGGAGGAGGACGACGAGGATGAGGTGAGGGAGGGTGAGGTAAAGTAAGGTAGGTAAAGTAAGGTAAGGTAATGTAAGGTAAGGACAGCCCCGAAGGGAATATTCTCGCAAGACTACGCGGCCGACGGGCGGCCGCGACCGCGGGGACCTGGCCACCACCTGAGGTGCCAGGTCCCCGACCGTGCTGAGAACGAGGACGGGCTTAACGGTGCCGGCCGCAAGCTCTGGAACCCGGCGCCGCCGCGGCCGCCGCCGCAGCCAGCGTTAGCTCCCCGAGCGGTGCCACGTCCTCGACGAGGATCGGCCACACCGTCGCACGGCGGCCAGTCCCAGCCAAGATGCGCACGCGGCCGTCCTCAACCTTGGGGTCGCCGTACAACGATCCGTGGCGACCGTCGAGGAAACGAGCGCGGTCACCATCCCGCAGGCCCGAGAGGACAGAGCGGCTCGGGAGGCTCGTCCGCGGGGCCAGCTGGTCGGCCCACTCGTCGTCCAGGTCGCCGTCGGAGGGGCCGTCGAGCGCCAGTGGCGCTGCGGCGCCATCGGGTGGCCGCGTCGCCCGGCGCCGCACGCACCCCCTGGCCCTCCGCGCCCTCCACGCCTGGCTCCGAGGCCGTCGCCAACACCGCCGACCCCGCACAGGCACGCCTACCTGGCCCACGCGGGCGCCGCCTACCTCGCCCTGTGCCAGGGCGAAGGGAGAAGGAGAAGGCCTCCTCAGGAGGAGGAGGAGGAGGAGGAGGAGGACGAGGAGGAGGAGGA